CTCTCCGCGCCGCTCCGTTCGCACACCCGGCACGGGATGCTCTCGGGACAGAGTTTGCCATGGCAGCTCCCGCTGCTGCTCGCAGCCCTCTCCTGCCTGCCGGCTCCCAGCTACGCCCAACTCCACTACTCCGTGCCCGAGGATCGCGAGCCGGGCTTCTCTGTGGGAGACCTGGCCAAGGACTTGGGGGTGGAGGTGCGGAGCCTGGCCGCCCGCAACCTGCGCCTGGTGAGCGAGGGTGGGCAGCGGCACTTCAAGGTGGACCTGGCGGCAGGTGTGCTGCTCCTGGACGGCAGGCTGGACCGGGAGGCGCTGTGTGGGCAGAGCCCCACGTGCTCTCTGCACCTCCAACTCGTCATGGAGAATCCCCTCCAGCTCCACCGTGTTGAGGTGGACGTCCTCGATGTGAACGACAACGCGCCCCAGTTCCCCAAGCCTGAGGTGGTGTTGGAGATCACTGAGGTAGCCAACCCTGGGACTCGGCTGCCCTTAGAGGTAGCAGAAGACCCAGATATGGGCTCCAACTCCATCTCCACCTATGAGCTCAGCCCCAGCAAGCATTTTGCCCTGAGCATCAACGTGAGAGGAGATGGTGTTAAAATGCCCGAGATCGTACTTGAAAAAGCACTGGATAGAGAGAAAGTGCCTGTTCATCATCTAACACTGACAGCTCTGGATGGAGGGAATCCCGTGAAATCTGGCACTGCCAGGGTTACTATCCATGTCTTGGATGCAAATGACAACCCTCCTGTCTGTGACCCACCCATATCCAAGGTACTTCTGGAGGAGAATGTGCCAGTGGGCACTCTGGTCACCAAGCTGAATGTCACCGACCTGGATGAAGGTCCCAACGGGGACGTGGAATATTCTTTCAAAACCAGCAACAATGCACCCGGTAAATTCACCAAACTGTTCTCCTTAGATGCCCGTACAGGGGAGATCAGAACCAAAGCCCCGCTGGATTATGAGGAATCCGGTGCTTACGAGATTGCAGTTCGAGCCAGGGACAAGGGATCACCAGCCATGGAAGGCCACTGTCACCTGCGAGTGGAATTAATTGATATCAACGATAACAGCCCAGAGATTGTGCTGACCTCTGTCTCCAGCCCAGTGCAGGAGGACGCAGCCCCGGGCACGGTGATCGCCCTCATTGGTGTGAAGGACAGCGATTCCGGTGACAACGGGCAGGTCCGTCTGCAGATAGCAAAAGAGCTCCCGTTTAAACTCGTGTCTTCTTTTAAAGAGCATTTCTCTCTGGTCACCAGCGGGCCCCTTGATCGGGAAAAGGCCAGTGGATACAACATCACAGTGAGGGCTGTGGATTCAGGGTCCCCCCAAAGGGCCACACAAAAAACCTTTTATCTCCGCATTGCTGACGTGAATGATAACGCACCGAATTTCTCCAGCCCTTTTGATACAGCTCACATTCAGGAAAACTCCCTCCCTGGAACTTCTGTCTTTTCAGTGTCGGCATCAGATCCTGACGAGGGTAGCAATGCCAAGCTGTCTTACTCCATCCTGGACAACGGGATGCAGGATGTGCCTATCTCAACCTACTTCCGAATAGATCAGGACAATGGCACCATCTACACCGTGCGAGCTCTGGATTACGAGCAGGACAAGGTGTTCCAGGTGCCTGTGGAGGTGAAGGATGCTGGGTCTCCTGCTCTGAGTAGCACTGCTGTGGTCCATGTGTTTGTCCTGGACGAGAATGACAATGCTCCCAGCATTGTCTACCCGTCTGTCCCCAAGGGCTCTGCCTTCCACCAAGCCATCCCGGCCTTGGCAGAGCCTGGCTACCTGGTAACTAAAATTGTAGCAGTTGATGCTGACAGTGGCCATAATGCCTGGCTGTCCTACCAGCTGCAGGAGTCTGCTGAGGCTTTGCCTTTCCAAGTGGAACGCCGCACTGGAGAGATAAGGGTTGCGCAGGCTCTCAGGGAGTCAGAAGATTCCCACAGGCTGGTGGTCGAAGTGAGGGACAACGGCACGCCGTCCCTCTCGGCCTCCGTGGTAATAGTCATTTCTCCGGAGGAAAACAGCGTGCAGGACTTCTCCAAGTCCTTGGACCTCCCCGAGTCTTCTCCCGAGGATACCAACCTAACGCTTTACCTCATCATCTCCTTGGTGTCCATCTCCCTTGTGTCCTGTGTGATGTTCGGGCTGGCGGCTGCCCGGTGTCTCAAAGCTGGCAATGCCAGCTGGACCTTGGCGGGTTGCTGCCGAGGGACTGGCCGCAAGCCCGCCTCCCATTTCCGAGGGCAGATGAAGCCAGATGGCTTCATCAAGTACCTGGACGTGGGAGGAGCGGGCTTGACCTCCCAGGCACAGAATTACACCTCTTGTTTCTCGCCCATGTCTGACCAGAGCGATTTCCTCTTTGTAAAGCCCTTCAGCCATTCTAGCACTGCGGAGACCGTGGCTGCCTATGAGCAGGTGACCAGCACCTTAGCGAGTCCCTGCGATGGGGTAAGAGATGGCTGTTTCTTACTGTCCTCCCTGCTTAGTGCAACAGTTTGCCATATCCAGGCCAGCTGGCTGCTCTCTGTCTGTCCTTCCTCCCAAGACAGCAGCCTCAGGGCACACGTGTCACTGTCACCTCCTGGGAGGTGGCAGGTGAAAGTTTTGGCTGGAGAATTCCCCCTCGGCCCCGCTCGTACTCGTTTCTATTTAAAGTGATTCTTAGCCTGGGCAGGAACAGGTTTTTTGGGGGTTTAACTTCTTGGTTCTGTTCAACCCCCTTTTCCTACATGGCACATGAACTGTGGTGCGGAGGAGGTTGTCTGAAAGGAAAGCCTGCCTGTGTTTCTTTTGCTCAGTTTTAGAGGTGCATTGTAGAAATTTCTCATTTCCCAAACCCCAGGTGTTATTAATTACCGACTGTGCCTCGGCAAGGGATCATTTTCCAGCTTGGTGGCAAGGGATCATTTTCCAGCTTGGTCATGTTGAGTGAGGAGCTGAATTCAGTATTCAGCACTAAAATACTGAAATGTCAGGAGTGACATTATTCACAAAGATCCTGGTGACCTTATGTGCCCTTGGGCATGCAGAGGCTGAGGAGCGGCAAGCTTTGAAAACTTGAGCTGTTTGTACTCAGATGCCTAAATATAGATGTAGGTGACTGTGTTTAGCTGGAGCTTTTATAACTTTGGGATATAAAAAGTAAAGCAGTTTTGTGTCACAAATGCCTGCCCTAAATTTGAAAATGGTAATTACAACAGGAATTCAAAATATGGAAGGGCTATTCAAAATATTGGGAAGGGCTTATCTAGTGCAGTATTGTGTGTCAGCGTGCATCTGAAATCTGGAGGGCAAACAGCTTCGTTTCTTTAAACAGCTTCATTTGCATGCAGCATGGGGACCAGTGGGGCATCTATTTTAGGGGAGTAATTTATTCCAATATCTTCTTTCATGAGTATCATCAAAGCTGCAGAGAAATTAGTGAGAGCACGTCTACTAAATAAAAATCTAGGTCAGCTCTACTCGTCTTCACTTTTCCTTAGTAATTGCATGTACAAGCAGAATAATCCTATAAAACTGATGTTCCACTATGTATGGACTACGAGCTGCTCCTTCCTAAAATAGCTGAGGGAAGTGCTGTCCTTTCCAGGTAGTATGTCATAACTCTGAAGTTCATTAAGATGATGATGATGATTTTGGGAAGTGTGTGTGTTTTCCTGAAAGAAACACTATTGTGCTATTTAGTGCTTTCCACAAAGGCATGATTCAAACAGGAATATACAAGCTTACTCCATGTCCTTCCTTATTTACAGAATGTTCATTGTCTGGTTGTAAAATAACACGGGCAGAGAGCGATACGGGGGCTTATTAATGAGGTTGCAAAGTGTGCTGCTGTGTCTGAAGGTTATTGTGTCTCCTAAACAAATAATGCTTTTTCCTCTTGCTGTCGGAAGTTTATTCTTTCCTCTGTGGACAGAAAAAATATTGTGGTGCTCCAAGGCCACAGCAGCTAGGAAAAGTCATTCAAATACAATGCCTGAAAACAAGATCTCAGGCAGGCCTTTTTAAGGACAGAAGATTAGGAAGGTCTGTTACCATTTTACCTTAGAGCATTAAAAGCATCTTTCTCAGTATCAATTAACTCTGCCACCCCCTCACACCCCCCTTCCTCCTCCAAGCTCATTACTGTGGTACCCCTGCTCCTGCTGAATTCATGCCCTTATCAGTTTATTTCATGCTTCATTTCTCTCACAGCCTGGTTTCCTGAGCTGCTTTGGAAGATTATTCTCTGAACAGTTTTTGTCGTGCTTTTTGGTATTCATGCTGCTTCAGAAATACTCAAGGAAGGGGGAGGGGGAGCTTTCTCTTTGTTCTAATTGATTTGCTTCACTTGGACAGAACATGCTGATATTCCAGACTGAAATAATCCAGGATCAGCTCGCTTTCATTTTCAAAGGCAAGAATGGAGGTATTAAAACTCTTCTTTTTCTTTGCAGCAAGCTCAGCCTAACACAGATTGGCGCTTCTCCCAGACCCAGAGACCTGGAACAAGTGGGTAAGTGACTCTTTCTTCATTTATCTGTGGGATGAATGTTTCTTTTCTTGGTGTGCCACTTTCAGTGCGGGGCAGTCCATGAGTGGCAGCTCTGGGAGCGGGTGTCCCTGTCACTGATGGAGTCAGAAATAGGGCTGCTCCTGGGGCAGCTGTGTTTGGTGGGGATGTGACAGCTGCCTTTGGCAGTGGTGTGTCTGTCTGGGTTTGGTGTCTGCTCCTCAGGAGCTGGAAGGAACTCCAGGTGAAGTCAGGACGTGGTTGAAGGACTGGGCAGTGGGCTTCACAGAGAAAGGCTTCTTTGCTACAACAGATTCTGAGCATGTAAATTCCTTCCTGAGTCAAAAAATCTCAACTCCTCTCCCTTCATGGAGGCCACTGGAAATCGCTCCTTTTACCAGTCGTGGGACCTTGAGCTCTGTGGGTAGGGTCAGGGTTTGTGAGGGTTTCCTGAGGTGTGCTCACAGCACACCTCACAGAACCCCAGAGCTTCACCTGGTCCCACCTCCCTGCTCAGCAGGGCCATCCCAGAGCACACAGCACAGGATTGTGTCCAGACAGATCTGGAACATCCCCAGAGAGGCAGATTCCACCACCTCTCTGTGAGGTGTGTGTGAGGTCAGAAGAGGAGCCCCAGCAGCAGAGCAGGGACCTCGCAAGGGGGCTTTGGCCCTTGCCAAGTGGGCACCCCGCTCGTGACTGGGGCTCTCTTGCCTCCGTCCCACCAAGGTTTGCTTGTCTTGGTCCACAGTGAGAGACCACTGACAACAAAATGTTGTTCTTTGCCTCTCCCATCTGTTCTCCTGGCTCATGAGCAGGGACAGGGATCCCCTTCAGAGGGTGAATTCCCTTGGAAGAAAGAATTTTAACTGAATTCTGCCTTTCTCTGTGAATACCCCAACCAGAGGTCGCTGTGAATGAGGAGACTGGCTCCAGGATCATTTCTGTGTGAAAAGATTATATCTTTTGGGGCAGACCTGAGACTCTCTGAACTATCAGGAGTTGGTTTGGGTGATGTGCTTCCTCATCTGGCTGGCTCAGGCACTGTATCTCTGTGCTTTGTCATTCCTGGGGGCCACTTGGGCAGCTCCTGGGGAGCTTAAGATGGTGGCATGGGAGAAGTGGGTGCTGGATTTTGGTGTCAGAGCTTGCAATTGAACATCTGCATCAGCTGCCTGTGCCTGACTCTTTGCCTGGGTCTGGCTCAGTAAATCATCTTATCAGAAAATTAAGAGATTGCTATAGCAAACTTGTTGGAGTGATTAAACCTTACAATTCCAGCTGATAAAGCTGAAATGGAGCGAAGGTTTAATGTAATTAGATAAAGTGTTCGTAGTAGAAACTGGCCTTGGAGAAACTTGGCCTTAAAACAAAGCTATAGCTGGAACAGTTTTCTCGGGGATCTGTTGAGTTCCCCATCACTGACAACATTTTAATCAAGGAAAATCTTTCTAAGCATTTCCGCTCTAGTTCAAATGACAATTAACAAAGCCCTGTTAATTCAGAAGTGCACCACAGCTGCTGTAATTGTTTTGCTGCGGGATGGCAGTAAATGAGCCCCATCAGAGCAGCCTCTTCTGCTCCCTCTTCTCTAGCATCGTGCTGGGGCTCTTCAGGGCACAGAGCTGCTGCAGTCCAGACCCCTTAGCTCAGTGACAGGGACTTTTCTCAGGTCATGGGACAGTGACCAGCCCCTGCCTGGATCTCTTCACAAGCTCCATCCCCTTCCCAGTGCCTGAGACAGCAGCAACTTGTGGGAACAGGGAGGGCAAGTGGAAATTCAGCCTCAGACTGTTTGTGGGGAGCTGAACGAGTGTGACATGAGAGCTCTGGTGCAGGAGCCACGATGTCACTGCTGAGGATCTGTGACCTGGGTGCCCAGGACAGTCCCTGGAACAGCTCTTGAATCACACGGTGGTTTGGGTTTGAAGGGACCTTCAAGCTCATTTTGTTCCAACCCCCTGCCATGGGTAGGGACACCTTCCTCAGGACCAGGTTGCTCTGAGCCCTGTGTTGTGACAGGGGGTCCCACAGCGTGGGCTGAGCCCTGACTTTGGAAAGAGACTTTGCCCAAGCACAGGCTGCTGCTAAAATAACTGGAAAAACTCAGTGGATTTCAATTCCTGCTGGTTTTCCCCACTTGCCTGTGTCCACATTTGCAACCACTCTTGCAGACTTTTTTCCCCGTTTCTTTCATCTTGTTTTACGTTAAATGAAGGGGGATGTTTTTATCCCAAACCTATTAAAGGATGGAAATAGAAAGTGCTGTCGTATGTTCAGTGCCCAGCCCTGACATCTCCCTGGCGATCAAACAGGCACATCCTGGAGCGCAGCCCTCTCCCCATTGTGCTGTTCCCGTGCTCTTCCCGGCGTTTTGATGCCTGCTGTGTGAATTCCCCAGGCACTGCTTGGTAGTACAGGCATTAAAGAGGGGGCAAGTGCAGCAGCCTGAGCCCGGCTCTCTGCTCTCTCTCTGCTCTTAAAGCCCCTGGAAATGTGTCTCCTGCTGGCAGGTGAAGCTCTGTGGCACCACGAGCTCTCTGAACTGCAGAGCTCTGCTTCAGCCTTCTAGCTGAAAATCAAACAAAGAGATGTGCTCTTAACTCTATTTGACCCACATTAAATAACAATAAAGACGCAGCAGCTTAGGCCAGGGGTTTGGATGGATCGTGGGGGGAGCCTGGCACTGACCCTAAGCCAGAAAGAAGCTCAAACCCATGTTGGGATTTCTCCCTTGCTGTCTCCATGGGAGCTGGGGAAGAAACAATGCTGTCCCTTCTCTGCACAGCCCTGCCCATCACAACAAATCCCACATGTCTCTGGGCACCTGGAACCGGGCAGAACAGGGGGAGCTCAGTGAGGCAGGGACCAGCTCTTGATCCGGCACATCGCTGCTGCTCCAGGACAACAAAGGGAATCTGCTCTTTGTTCTGAAACACGGGAGAGCTCTGGTGCACATGCTCAGGAGAGAGGAGCTCAGACAATATGCTCTGAAAATGTGGTAGCGAGGCAGACCTGAGCAAAACAGAATTAATCTTGTTTGGGAGAAATAGGAGGATAGGATGATTAATTTAATTATGTTTGTGTTTTGTTTTTCTTAAAAAAAAAAACAAAAACCCACGCTTTGCTGTTGCTGGGCAAATGTAAATGAATCCAGAGTGATTCCAAGCAGCAGATGCCATTCCCAGACAAATCAGATCAGTGGCTGTAGCGGAGATTACAGTGATGAATTGGCCAGAGTGGAGTCAATGAATGGTCCAGCAGCATGGCAGGGTATCCCTGTGGGGGGATCAGCGTGGGGCTCCCTGTGGCAGGAGGCTGGAGGTGTATGGGAGGAGAGTGCAGGGACCGGGGCCGGTACAAAAGAGCACAAAAGAGCCATCGTGTTGTTTTGCTTTGTTTTCGTTGTTGTGCCCTGAGAGTTCATGGTGCTGCCTGAGCCTGGATGCTCTTTGTTTTGGTACCTGCGGGATGATTTGTTCAGGAAAACCCCGGGCTGGAGGCAGGATTTCCTTCCTGGAGGATGGGGAGGGCTCTGTGTTGCTCACAGGTGGACATGAGAGGGTGAGACAGGCCTGGGAGGCTTCTCGTGGCAGGACTGAGGACAATTTTGGGCTGTGTGGACAGGACAATTTTGGGCTGTGTGGACAGGCTGGGAGGAGATGCCAGGCAGGAGACACCCCAGAGACAGCGGCAGGGCGCTCAAGAGGAGGTGGGAAGCAATGTGAGAATCCATGGCAACTCCAGGGAAGGGAGGAGCGAAGATGCAGAAGTTGCCATTTCACACATCCCCCTTCCATTTGTTTTCTCCAATCCCAAATCCCCCTTTGTTAATGCTCCCCAAAGCTGTTGCTAGCCAGGCTTCCCCTCCCCGGCTGAGCAGAGCCAATGGTGATGTTCACTTCGCTTCCCTTGTTTATCAAACAGCATCACAGCTGCCCCCTGGCCCCAGCATCATCCCCCCACCCACAGCACCGGGGCTTGGGGCTGACACTGGAGATGCTGCAGCAAGAGAGAGCCAGGAAGGAAAAGAGGGATTTTAATTTTTTTTTAATTTTTTAATATTTTTTTTTTCATTCTTTGTCTTGTTTTCATGCAAGAACTTCCAAGTGTTTGGCCTTCAGGACTATCAACAGGCTGTCTGTGTGTGCTGGGGGCTGGGGAGAGGAATAAAGGATAGTCCTTTAAGCTCTCAGGGGTGTTCTTGTGGCTCAAAGCATGCAGGTGTTGAGGTGTTGCCAAGGTGTGTTTTTGGGGTGTGTGAAAAACGAGGTTCACGGTTTTTTATACAGAATTTAAAAGTTTAATAGGAAGACAATTAGGGGGTAAAAATAAAGTAAAATATACAAATACAGCCAGGTGTCTCAGCATTCAGCCAAGGGCACACCTTACTAACAAAGGATTGTCCTTTAAAAACAAAACCCTACTACATATTCATAAATTCTCATGCATGATTCAAACATTTTTCTTATGTTTTGAATGTTTCTTTTGCCCCCTTCCCAATAAATCAAGCTTTTGGCTCCACTGAGTTTCACATTCCCTGATAACAGAAATACAATAAATTCCTCCCCCAGAGCTCTGGTCACTGCTGTCCTCATCTGTATAAGATAATCTAAGAATGGAGGGGAGGTCTGTAACTATCTTTTTCAGTCTTTGGGTTATACAAACAAAAATATTTTTTGCTTTAATACTATGCCATGGCTCAACATATATGTATTATACCACTATTTCTAAGTTTCATGAATAACAGAAATAGAAGGAACTATATTAATACAACAAAGTTTTCTAACTTTACACATAAAACATTCATTTTAACATTTGCAAAAAGCCAATAATATAATATGTATCTATAACAGGTGCATGACTGCACCAGGACACCGACCCCACATGTGGGGGAACATCCCAGAGCAGCTGGGGCCAGAGGAGCAGAGAGGGAAACACAGACATTGCTGGGCTTACACAGCACGGGGGTGGGCAGCCAGCAGAAGGACAGCTGGCCACGG